AAAGAAGTCCACATCTTCACGTATCAGAACATCTGCTGAGATTTTCTGTCATCTACTTCCAGGTGCAGCAGCAACACATGATGTCATCGCCGTCACCGGTGCAGGTCCAGACGCCGCAGTCCATGCCTCCGCCTCCACAGCCGTCACCGCAGCCGCCCACCTCTCAGCCCAATTCTGCCAGGTTAGTTTTTGTTTTTTTTTGTCTGCTCCCCACATCTGGTCAGAACCATTCTTCTTATGACTCTTCCTGTCTTCAGCTCTGGTCCAACACCATCACCTGGTGGGTTTCAGCCCAGTCCTTCTCCTCAGCCTTCACAGAGTCCCGCCAACGCTCGGACACCGCAGAATTATGGCGTACCCTCTCCTGGACCACTGAACACTCCAGGTTTTTTTTCTATGCCTTCTCCGATGGACTCTGTGCTCCTCTGATGCTTCAACATTTCTTCTCTCCATGATATTCCTCTGTTGGTATATATGGGTTTTGCTCGTCCTTGTTGTCCTCGCTCAGTTTTCTGACTGTGGCCTCTCCCCTCCTCAGGAAACCCCAGCTCAGTGATGAGTCCGTCAGCGGCCTCCTCTCTGGAGGAGCAGCAGTACATGGAGAAGCTCAGACAGTTGTCCAAGTACATCGAACCTCTGAGCAGGATGATCAACAAGATCGACAAGAATGAAGGTTGGTCTGAGCTGAAGGTCCAGGAGAGGAGAGGTGACGGTTGAGTGGTTGATGACTAACCACAGGTTTGTTTTTAGACAGGAAGAAGGACCTGAGTAAGATGAAGAGTCTTCTGAACATCCTGACAGACCCTAACACCAGGTGATCGGATCATCACCATCAACATGCAACTGAACACCAGATTTTCAAACATGAACATCCAAACTTCTCAAAAGACCTGGGACCCCTGACCCTCATCTGACCCTCTCCCTCCTCTCTTTATACCCCCACCCCCCACAGGTGCCCCCTGAGGACTCTGCAGAAGTGTGAGATTGCCCTGGAGAAGCTGAAGAATGACATGGCCGTGGTCAGAACAGCTGAGAATCTCTGGCAAAAGAAATGTTTTTTTTTTTTTACTCTCATGTTTCTGACTGTGCCTCTGTGTTCTCAGCCCACTCCACCGCCCCCTCCGGTGGCCACCAAGCAGCAGTACCTATGTCAACCTCTGCTGGACGTGGTCATGGCCAACATCCGTTCACCAGTCTTCAATCACTCTCTGTACCGGACCTTCAGCCCGGCCATGACCGCCATTCACGGACCTGCCATCGTGTAGGTCTTGATTTTCTTTTGTTTTTGTTCCTTCTCTCTCCTTTCTCACAGTCTCCACCTCGTGGGTTCCTGTGACTCCAGAACTACTGGGCCTGATCCAGACCTGACACGTTATTCACAACTCATTTAATCAAACTCAGCTCTCGCTCAAACCCCCCCGCCCCGATGTGTTCTTTAATGACCGTCTTGGCCTTTGTCTTTGACTGCTAGGGGCCCCAACATATCCTGCAGGAAGAGGAAGCTGGAGGAGGAGGAGCGCCTGACTGTTACTAATCTCCTCCAGGGGGAGGTGGCTCGTCTGGACGTTAAGTTCCTGGTGAATCTGGATCCTTCCCACTGCAGCAGTAACGGGACTGTTCACCTGGTGTGCAGACTAGGTGAGACACAGATATGGACTGGGCCTCACTGATGTGACCCATTGGTCGGGTCCAACCCAGTCACTTGTTTCTGTTCTGTGGTACAGATGATAAGAATCTAC